CCACGGGATGGGCACCTGCCTGACGGGAGGAGGTTCTGCCCTGACGGGATGGGCACAGGTTCTGCCCGACAGGATGGGCACAGGTTCTGCCCACGGGATGGGCACCTGCCTGACGGGAGGAGGTTCTGCCCATGGGTCCCTGCTCATCAGTGTGGTCCAATTGGGCCCAACCTCGGTGGGATTTTGGGCCTTCTCGATTGTGGGCTAAGCCTCGACCCAGTCCAGAACAGGAGCCCCCAAGTCGATGTTCAATGTCAGGAGAGCTATGACTTAAGTAGAGAATAGCGTTGCGCGCGCTGATATGTCAGGCAGGATGCGAGAATGGCGTCGATCGTATCGATCATCTGGGAAGGGCGAAATTGCAGTCGCTCGACATCCAAAAAATTATGCTCGACACCTTCGATCGTTTCTTCTCGGCGTCCGAGGTCGTGCCCGTTTATTATAGCGTTTTGACTTCTGGGCTTGTGCCCCTTTTATGGAATTCTTGTTTCCCTTTCTAAGTTTTGTGTGCGTGCATGATTGTTATGCTTTTTCGCTAAGTGTTGGCTCGTTTTGCCGAGCTCCATTATGATGTGAATGTTTATTGTTTTGTGGGGGACCTTTGCTCGGTGCGTGTTGCCCGGTAGTGTGGGGAACTATCCGGATGCCCGGGGTAGCTTCCTGGGCGGACAAGAGTTAGGTCACGGTTGTGATCTATCCTGTAGGCTTGAACATCCCATCGCGAGCTGGGCGTTCGGCCGATTATGATACTGCGGCGGCGACTCTCGATCGAGGGGGTGCCGTCGAGCGGGCTATTCTCTTTTTGTTCGGGGAGGTATAGTGCCCGCTAGGGTATGGTCGGTGAGGTGTGGCCGTATCAGTCCACCCTCTTGTTTGCGCGGGTTGTCCCTCGCGGGCAGTGTTGTTTAACTGTAGTATTTTTTTAGCTTTTCAGCGTTCCATGGTCGAGCTATATGGTCCCCTTGTAAGTTTTCGAGGTAGTAGGTTTTCGAAGGGAGGACAAGGCTGGATGGAAGCCAGGGTCCTGCCCGGAAGAGTCTTCTGCCCGACAAAAGAGAGGACAAAGACTGGCTGGTGGGCAGCCAGGGTCCTGCCCATCGGAGTCTTCTGCTCGACGAAAGGAGGACAAAGATTGGCTGGTGGGCAGCCAGGGTCCTGCCCATCGGAGTCTTCTGCTCGGCGAAAGGAGGACAAAGACTGGCTGGTGGGCAGCCAGGGTCCTGCCCATCGGAGTCTTCTGCTCGACGAAAGGAGGACAAAGACTGGCTGGTGGGCAGCCAGGGTCCTGCCCATCGGAGTCTTCTGCTCGACGAAAGGAGGACAAAGATTGGCTGGTGGGCAGCCAGGGTCCTGCCCATCGGAGTCTTCTGCTCGACGAAAGGAGGACAAAGATTGGCTGGTGGGCAGCCAGGGTCCTGCCCATCGGAGTCTTCTGCTCGACGAAAGGAGGACAAAGACTGGCTGGTGGGCAGCCAGGGTCCTGCCCATCGGAGTCTTCTGCTCGGCGAAAGGAGGACAAAGACTGGCTGGTGGGCAGCCAGGTCCTGCCCATCGGAGTCTTCTGCTCGACGAAGGGAGGACAATTGTGAACAGCGTCGCCATGGCGGAGGGCACTCGTGATCTTGAAGTTTTGAGAGATGAAGCTTTGGTTCTCTGCTCGGAGGAACGGGGGAGCTTAGTTTCCCACAGACGGCGCCACTGATCTAACCTGATCAGAAGGGGATCACTGGATGGCCACGCTCCGTTAGGCTGCTTCCTGTTCACCGGTGGGGAGGATGAGGAGGGGGTGTACCTGCAAGGCACTCCGATGCCAAAGTGAGAAAATGGGCAGAGTGACAGCAAAGTACAGAAATTGGGTAAGAAGTGGATTACCTGGCCCTCTTGGGGAAGAGGGTATTTATAGAGAGACCCCAGCGCAGGGCCAACGGTCATTTGAGTTGGGCTGGATGGCCAGGCCCAACCCTAATGACTGCTAGGGCTTACGTGGCGTAGTGAAGACCAGGACGTGGTCTTCGCCCTAGTCCAACTGCTCCTAGATCTCCAGAAAGTGGATTTGACCTGCTCTTTCGGAGGTGGGCAGTTGGTTGATGACGTGTCCCCGCGGAGGGGAGCACGCGGAGAACGTGTGGAAGGCACGTTATGCTGCCCGGCGGGATGGGCACAGGTTCTGCCCACGGGATGGGCACCTGCCTGACGGGAGGAGGTTCTGCCCTGACGGGATGGGCACAGGTTCTGCCCGACAGGATGGGCACAGGTTCTGCCCACGGGATGGGCACCTGCCTGACGGGAGGAGGTTCTGCCCTGACGGGATGGGCACAGGTTCTACCCGACAGGATGGGCATAGGTTCTGCCCACGGGATGGGCACCTGCCTGACGGGAGGAGGTTCTGCCCTGACGGGATGGGCACAGGTTCTGCCCGACAGGATGGGCACCTGCCTGACGGGAGGAGGTTCTGCCCATGGGTCCCTGCTCATCAGTGTGGTCCAATTGGGCCCAACCTCGGTGGGATTTTGGGCCTTCTCGATTGTGGGCTAAGCCTCGGCCCAGTCCAGAACAGTAATAAAATAAAGTTAGTTAATGAAATGTAAAAAGTTGATTAATAAAAAAATAAAGTTGAATAATAAACGTTCAAATATTAAAAATAATTTTTATTAGTAAAACAAATTCGACTAATAAAATATGAAAAATTGTTTAATAAAGTAATGAAGTTGGTTAATAAACGCTCAGATATTAAAAATAATTTTTAGTAGTAAAATAAAATTGATTGATAAAATGTAAAATATTGATTAATAAAGTTATGAAATTGGTTAATCACACAATTTTATATCGGTACTCTTTAATCTAAACAAAATTAATATATATATATATATATATATATATATATATATATATATATATATATATATATATATATATATATATATATATATATATATATATATATATATATATATATATATATATATATATATATATATATATATATATATATATATATATATATATATATATATATATATATATATATATATATATATATATATATTAAAATTGATTATTATTATAATATTTTACATATATTTTATTTGTAACAGTGAAATTCATAGTAGTGTAAAAGTGTGATATATAAATATCATTTTTCTTATCATTATGAGTGAAAAAAATCAGGCCAACATTAAAGGATACTGAAAGTTAGACTGATTTTTATTTCTAGTGTGATTGAATCCTGAAAGTTAATTACCCCTCTGTCTCATATGTATTTTTAAATTATTTGTCTTTTTAAAATATTAATGTGATATTTATTATTTCTTTTTAATAATTTATCTATTATATTTTAAATCATATATGTACTTCATTATCTATTATTAATAAAGTTATTTTAGTAAATGATATTTATTTTATTATTAAAATTAATATAATTAATCATTATCTTAAAAATATTAAAATCTCAACAAAATACCTATTGTGAAATGGAGGGTACCCAGGAAAAAAAATTAAGATTTAAATAATTAATTAATTATTTAAAAATATAATTAATTGTTGTAAATATATTATTTTTATTTTTAGTTCTTAGAATCTTTTATCTAGTTTTCATCCTTGCAAATATTTTTATTTTGTTTTTGGTTACTATTATCTTATTTTAGTAATTGAAAAATGTACTTATATTAAAATTGATTTTCATAATATATAAAATACTTCAATTTATTTTCTCTAATATTAATGACACAATTAAAATTAAATATTTTACATATTACACTATAAATGTAAATTTTAATTAATAGCAATTTTGTATAAACTGAAATAAATTTTCAATTACAATAAAACAAATACAAACACAACAGAAAATAACAACATAAAGAACAAATAAAAAGATTTAACACTATAACATATCTAAGAGATTACAATCGTCAAAACAATATCATTTGGTCCAAACATCATAACACAAACATCACTATCAATTTTAACTGACTCTCAAATCTGAGTTGGTTCGCCATTCTCATTCTCACTGTTGAACACCGAAACAAACATATTGATTCTTCTAATTTTTCACCATCTTAAATCTCAGTCTAACCAACGGATCAAACTCCTCTTAAAATACTTGAAAGTTTGAGTGTTCAAAAGTTGAATCTCTATAAAAGACTTGAGAATTGAATAAAAAACATGAACATCTCTTTTAAGAATCATGTTAGACATTTAGAAAAAACATAAGAATTAAATAAGAATTAAATGAGATGATGTGTGGAAAATGGTAAAGAATGAACACCTTTTTATAAAAAAACAAATACACTTAGGCATCAAGGGTATGAACAACTCCTCTCATCCTTATAATGCATGCACAACTCTTATTGGTACTTGGTAGTGCATGTGTCAAGGGTTGTGGTTCATATGTATATTTTACTTGCATGCACCATCATTTTTGGTGCCTTATCTCTGATACAATTTTTTGTTTGAAAATGAGTATTTTGGTTAATAATGAAAAAATTATTATTGAAATGTTTAAATCAAAAATATTGATTATTTATTAAAAAAAGTTACAATTGATTTTTACACCATATATAAAATTTAAAATTATTTTCTTTAATATTAATGACACACAAATTAAAATTAAATTATCTACATATTCCACTATGAATATAAATTTCAATAAATAGCAATTTTGCATAAACTAAATAAAAGGAAGAAAAAAAACTAAAACAAAATAAACAAATATATTCATAAAGCACTAAAATAAAAATAATTTCTTTTTGATTATCTTATTCATCACCTTGTTGGGACCATGCATTTGACTAATGATATGACGAGTAAACCAAAAACGACATCGTTTATACAAGAGAAGACGTTCCATTACACGGCACTGGCCTACACGGCTCCACGTTACCATCTTTGTCCACAAAACCAACAAGATTCCATTCCCATCTTCATCCTCACAAAACTAAATATCTCCATCTAAATTCACTACACCTTTTCAATATTCAACCCTTCTTTCTCTCTTTTCTACCATGGTTGTAAGCTTGGGAAACCTAGCCTTATTACTCGACATTTCTTCACCGCGAGCCTTATCTCTCGATAGAAAGCCTCGTCTCGTCGGTGTAGACGCAATTCTCACCTTACCGCTTAAGCGAGACTCTTCTTCTTCTACTTCCTCATCTTGCGGATGCGATGGGGAAGTGCGTGGGCGCGCGGTGGTGGCGCGTGGGAAGTCGAATTCGGAGCAGAACGGGGTTGATTTTGACGCGGAGTGGAGTGATGAGGAAGGAGGGTTTGGTGATGGAGCTGATTTTGAGAAGAAGATAAGGATGAGAGTGAAGGAGTTTGAGGAGAGGAGAGAGCTTGAGAAGAAAGTGGAAGAGTATTTGCAGAGTGAAAAAATCGATGATGGAGATGAAGAGATCACTGAGGAAGAGAAGAGGATGAGAGTTAGGAAAGAGCTCCAAAAGGTTTGAATCAATTAAACTAATCATATCATATTCACTTTTTAATGATGATTTTCTTTTCTTAATTCTTAATTACTCTGCTTTTTTAATTACTCGGTTGGTCATATCTAGGGTGGCAATTAAGTCCTTTAAACTAAAATCCATCCAATTCATCTACAAAATTATCCATCTAATCCATTCATCTACAAAATTATCCATCTAATCCATTCATCATACAAAATATTAATTAATGGATTGAATTCAATCCATCTATTAAAAGTTATGGATAAATCTAACCCATTCTAAAAAATCCATTGAATTGTTTTTATAATAAAATAATATTTGTCGCAAGTTGTTTGTAAACTTTAGTGATACTCCTATATTTTGAAAGTTTTTTATTTTGAAACAATTAAAATAAAAATTATATACATACATACATATAGCAAGTTGTTCATAAACTTCAGTGAAACATTTGTTTCTTTTATAAAATTCTGATGTTATGATATTCATTTAGAGCCTTTCTTAATATATAACTAAAACACTACTACTACACTTATCAATGGAAAGAGGAAGTGTATTTTTTGATTGATTATATTTAGGGAATTACTCAAACTTGTGCGGTGAAAATTGTGATTATTTTCTTATTGTATTACATGCATTAATTAGTTTACTAAGCAAGGTCTCATCAGAGTTTGCGAACATTTTTATCAGCGAAAAATTGAATTCTCTATGTCATATTTTCATCCATGAAAATCTTCACCATCCATAAAAAGGAGCGATGCATTTAAATATTAGAAAGATAGACAAATAGACACAATTTTAACCTAACAAGTTACTTAAGATATTAATATAAGATAAGATAGTTTTTATAGTGCACATGATTCTTCTTGGTTGGAATCTCCTATGGGTTTGTGGGGATAATAGCCTCTTTTGTTTAAGGAAGGGTTTTGCATTTTTAATGTCTTTGCACTCTTAATTATAAAACTGTAGCCTATTTAAAATTAAGGGCTCTTGATTTGTTTTCATCGTTCCTAGTTCCTAGAAATATGGTTTATAAATGAGGCAATCCTCACTAGGCTGATTTTATAGAGATGAGTTAGTTCTAATCATATTTGTTAATATGGTATGAAGAGTCCTGTTTTAGATCCGACGGACCACCCACAATTTATTTTCATGCTCCAAATATTCATTCCTAGGCATGGAGGGTGTGTTAAGAGTCTCACATTTGACCATATATGACCTGAACATGTGTTTATAAGTGAGACAATCTTCACCCCACAAGCCGGTTTTTTTAGGTATGAGTTAGGTCCAAAAATTTTTTTTAGTACTATATTTTTTTAGGCTATGTTTGGATATTGTAAGACAAATAGAGCGGACCGGAATGAAATAAATATGAAATTTTGTTATTTGGGTGTTTCATGATGAAATACAGCAATATCGTCATTCCGTCCAAACGGAGGGTATAAAAAACGATGAAAAGTGATAGAATGGGATGAAATGCATTCCCTTAGGTTCTGCTCGATTCCATCCTTTTTGAATTAATTCAAACAATAGAACATAAGTTTATACCGCTTCATTCCATCCTTTTTTTTTAACTCTTTTGTTAACGCATAACATGAAATAGAGTGAAAATAAGCAATGTGAAAATAGATACTGAAAACAGAAAATGTTTGAAGGTGATAATTGAATTGGCACTTGTTGATGTATTGTTTGTTCTTTTGACTGTTCAGGTGGCTAAGGAGCAGGCAGAGAAGAGGGCCATGGCTCAGATGATGTTCGATTTGGGTCAGAAAGCTTACGGGAGAGGCAAGTATGGACGAGCCATTGAATTTCTTGAAGGCGCGCTCACTATCATACAAAGACCTACATTATTCGGTGGCGAGGTTAATTGATTCTTTACTAAATTTGAAAATCTCTGCATGTTCTTTCTTAGGTTTATTTCAATCTATGTCTCTAACTGTTGAAAAATGAAGTAAAAAGTGCTTTTCTATTAAAAAAACTGTAAATTTCAGATCCAAATATGGTTGGCCATGGCTTATGAGGCTAATTATCGCCATAACGATTGCATTGATCTATACAAGCAATTAGAAAAGTCACACCCTAGTGTTAGCATCCGGCGCCAAGCTGCAGAGCTTCGATACATTATGGAAGCACCAAAGCTCAAGATAACCCAAGAGGAGATGGTCACTATACCTTTGATTTTTGACAGTTATGACAGGTCATTTGACTGTTCATGTTACTAATTAGATTCATTCAAATCTTTTATTTATTAGTTTCTTGATTTTTTTTGCATATGGTAATACCATTTTTCTTGTTTGTTTCCCTTGATTTCTTGCTGGTTGGGTACGATCATGAGTTCTTAGCTGATTAACAATCTTTCTAGTAATAGAAACCCAACCTTTTTCTTGAACAAATCTAGTTCAAAAGTTAAATAAATGGTTTTGAGGTCTCAAAAACTAAGATACCATGATAAAAGTCCAGACAACCTATTTGGGGAAACCGTGATGCTCTTTGAGGCATTTCCTTATTTAATAGACATAAAACAATCTTTTAGAGATGCATGGGAGATTATAAAACATGGTTATTGTTTCCATAAACTATCCTAAAGGTGGTATTGAAATAATCTGTGAAAATATGTTATGGACATAAGCTATTTTCAGAAGTTTTTTTTCATACACTCACCCAGGTATATAATAAGCCCAAATAAATAGTGGTCCATAAGTCAATCTCAATACACCATTCACCCCAAAGTCCTTATTATTGTCGCAGTTACAAATTACAACCTCTATATATGGTAGGAGAATGTTACAGCTAAAACTTGCTATATATTATTATTGTCGCAGTTACAATTGACAAAAATAATATTTACATAGTAGAGATAAGACCGGTAGATTCTGTAGTAAGGAGGGTAGATCAGATGAAGAGAAGTCAAACAATTAGAGGAAGGAAGGGGAAGACCTAAAAAAACTATCAAAGAAGTATTAAGAAAGATTTCAAAATTAATGATTTGGATAGAAACATGATCCTTGATAGAACATTATGGCGAAAGTTGATCCATGTAGCCAACCCTACTTAGTGAGATAAGACTTAGTTATTGTTAGTTGTTTAGTAATTATAACCGGGCCTAATGATGTTCCATCACGCATTAACATAAAGTATAATTTGATTGTTTTTGTCGTATTTCTGATTCCAACACAAATGATATTAACGGTTCAAAGCATTTAATTACCACTAACTTTGTAGAAACTTCAAAATACTTACATTAATTAATGTTCAAACCTGAGAGATTGGAGGATTGTCACTGACATTGGTATTGAGGAATGTTATAACTATATAATTTTTTTGTTGGTTTGATAATAACAGCAAATTTAAAACTACTGTGTTATTCATGTTAATTTCTTGCATTTGAAAAATGAGATATATATCATATATGTGTTACTTATATATGTGTAGTTATGCTGTAACATGGAGTGGTAAAAACAAGGATAGAAAGAGTGGAAGAGGTAACTCTCCATTTACATCATCAAAAGATAACCTTTTGGATTCTCTTGTGTGGAGCCCTCCTACTGGATTAGGGAAAAATCGAGCATTCTGGGTTGGTTTAACAATATGGTTGGGATTAGTAGGTGCTGCTCTCTTCATTCAAAGATGAAGTTCCAGTTCTTCAATGTCTGATGATTCTAATTTTGTGTTATAATTGTTCATTTTAGTTCTTAGTGTATATAGTCCATGTGTAAAATTATTGTATGTAACCAAACCAATAGGAAAAATATGTTATTTTATTATATTTTCCTGTTAGGGCGTTTGTTCTATTGAAATTACAAGATTGTAAGTTCAGAACTAATCGTGTCATTGTATATTGAACAAAATAATATTGAAATTACAAATATTTATGGTAATTTCTGTTAACTGTGTTTCTGTGGTAGGTTTACAGACACTTGAAATGAAATAAAACATTTGTTTTGCAGAAATTCACACCCTCTCGTCCTCCACAAAAGGCTATTTTGTTACAGGCTGAAAGCAAGATCAACGGGGAACATGGTGGTGTGAGTGTCTAGAAGTGTTCTTTGTGTTGGTGCAAAGATAGAATAAATGATGAAATAGGAAATATTACTAATAAGAGAATGACGGCTACAAAACATGATATTAGGTTACAATGATTGTCACCCTATTTATAAGCTAAAACTAGGGTTACTAGAATAGGATAAATACTAAAATACCCTCTAACAAACTTATGGGCTAAGAAAATAGTACAACTAAATAAATATGAATTATCATTAATATTCTAATACCATCCCTTAATTCATATTCCATCAAAACTTGTAACACCAATTCCATCCCTTAATCCGAGAAATTGATCAGTCTTGATAGCTTTCGTCAGAACATCTGCCAACTGCTTCTGAGTGCTGCAGTGTACAACTTCTAACACTCCACTCTGAACTTGATGTCTTAGAAAATGATACTTGGTCTCAATATGCTTGCTTCTCCCATGCAACACTGGGTTTCTGGCAAGATTGATTGCAGACTTGTTGTCAATCATCAACTTCAGAGGTTTGTCTACTTTAATCTTCAGATCCTGCAACAGATTCAGAATCCACACAGCTTGGCATGCAGTAACAGCACCTGCAATGTATTCAGCTTCACAGGTTGACAACGCCACAATAGGTTGCTTCTTGGAACACCAAGAAATGGGACCTCCCAGAAATTTGAACAAGTACCCAGATGTACTTCTTCTGTCAACTCTGTCTCCACACCAATCAGAGTCTGAATAACTCAGAAGTTCTGACTCATTATTTCCTCCAGAGGGAAATAACACTCCATACTTCAGAGTTCCTTTGATATACCTCAGAATCCTGACAGCAGCTTGGTAATGGGACCACTTAGGTTTACTCATGAACCTACTAACCATCCCAACTGAGTAGCTAATATCAGGTCTGGTATTGCACAGATACCTCAGAGAACCAACCAACTGTTTGAAGGTTGTAGCATCCACATCCTTTCCTTCAGAGTCTGAATCCAGTTTCTGATTTGTATCAGAAGGTGTGACAGCCATCTTACAATTCTTCAGATCAAATCTCTTCAGAAGTTCTAATTCATACTTGAGCTGATGCAAAATGATACCTTTCTCAGAATATCTGAACTCCATCCCTAGAAAGTATGTCATTTTGCCTAGATCAGTCATTTCAAATTCATTCATTAGAACCTTCTTGAACTTGGCTATCTCCTGTTCAGAACTTCCAGTCAATAGTATATCATCAACATATAAACATACCAGAGTCATATTGCCTTCAGAAGTATGCTGAACATAGACACCGTACTCCATCTCACATTTCTGAAAGCCTTGCTTCTTGAAAAATGAATCAATCTTCTGATTCCAAGCTCTGGGCGCTTGTTTCAATCCATATAGAGCTTTGTATAGTCTGTACACCATCCCTTCCTGATTCTTTTCAACAAATCCAGGAGGTTGTGACACGTAAACTTCTTCTTCTAATGGACCATTCAGAAATGCAGATTTTACATCTAAATGCATCAGAGGCCAATTCCTGTTAGCAGCTATTGCAATCACCATTCTGATTGTTTCATGTCTTGCTACAGGTGCAAACACTTCAGAATAATCCAGCCCAGGTTTCTGTAGAAATCCTCTGGCTACCAACCTTGCTTTATGTTTGCCAATTGAGCCATCTGGCTTTAACTTCTGCTTGAAAACCCATCTGACGCTGATTGCTTTCTTGTCTTTTGGAAGTTCTGTCAGCTTCCAAGTCTTGTTTCTCTCTATAGCATCAAGTTCTTCTTTCATGGCCTTCAGCCAGAGCTTCTGCTTAAGAGCCTCCTCTGTACTTATAGGTTCAGAGTCTACTAACATGGCACACTGAATAACTTCTCCTTCAGAGTCTACTTCAGTGTCTTGCAGCATGTCAAATTCTGCAAATCTTCTGGGAACGCTTCTGATTCTTTGTGGTCTCTGAACTTGTTCAGAGTCTTGAGCTTCAGATGATTGACTTTCTCCAGAGCTTTGACCAACTTCAGGATCTGGCATATTTCCAGAGTCTTGAACTTCAGAATTTCTAGCTTCAGAGGCTTGACTTCCTCCAGAGCCTTGGCCATCTTCAGAGTCTGAATTTCCACCAGAATCTGGATCATCAGAGTCACCTTCATCTTCTGAGTCTTCTCCAGAGTCAGAATCACTATCAGAATCAACGTCAAAATTTATTCCAACTTCAGAAATTCTTAACTCTGACCTTTCTTCAGAAGTTCTAACATCAGAATCAGATTGAGACTTATCCCAATTCCAAACTTCTGATTCCTTCACAATCACATCTCTGCTGAATTCAATTTTGTTGGTTTCTGGACAATAGAGCTTGTATGCACCTGTACTGTGGTACCCTATCAGAATCATCACTTTGCTTCTATCATCCAGCTTCTGTCTTCTGGCTTCTGGAACATGTTTATAGCAAACAGAACCAAATACCTTCAGATGACTAACACTTTGCTTGTCTCCAGTCCACTTCTGCATAGGAACTATTTCCTTCAACTTCTTCGTAGGACATCTGTTGAGTACATACGTTGCAGTGGCAACAGCTTCTCCCCAGAGCTTCTGAGGAAGCTTCTTATCCTTTAGCATGCTTCTCACCATATCAAGCAAAGTACGGTTTCTTCTTTCAGCAAGACCATTGTGTTGAGGGGTATAAGGAGCAGTAACCTCATGCTCAATTCCATTCTCCTCACAGAACTTCTGGAACTCTTTGGAGTTATACTCACCTCCACCATCAGTTCTAAGAATCTTCAACTTCTGACCACTCTGATTCTCAGCCTTCATTCTGAACTTCTTGAATTCATCAAACACCTCATGTTTAAATTTAATAAGGGATACCCATGTCATTCTTGTGAATTCATCAACAAATAACACAAAGTATTTATTCCCTCCAATTGATGCTACTGGAAATGGACCACACACATCAGAATGTACAACTCCCAAGGCATGTTTTGCTCTTGGAGCAACTTCTGATGCAAATGGCAATCTTGGTTGTTTTCCTTCCATGCAAACTTTGCATGACTTTTCAGGCTTCTTAATTGCAGGAATTCCATGTACCAATTTCTTTGAATTCAGATGTTGTAAGCTTCTGAAATTCAAATGACCAAATCTTCTGTGCCACAACTCACTCTCCTTCTCAGTACTTGTTGCACTAAGACACTCTGAGTCTGCAGTTCTGACATTCACCTTGAATGTTCTATTCCTTCCCTGTTCTGACTCCATAATCAACTTCTGATTACAGTCATACAGCTTCAGAAGATTGTCCTTCATGGTAACTGAGAAACCTTTCTCAATTAATTGTCCCACACTCATCAGATTGCTTCTGATGCCAGGTACATACCACACATTCTGAATCAATGCTATTTTCCCATTGTTCAGAGTCACTCTAACATTTCCCATACCTTCTGCATTAAGATATTTGTCATCAGCACATCTGATCTTTGTTCTCTTTTCAGAGTCAAAGTCAACCAGCCATTTCTTGTTTCCAGTAAGATGATTTGAACAGCCAGTGTCCATATACCACCAGTCTGTCAGATCCACATTATCAGATTCAGAGGCCATCAACAGCACAGATTCGTCATCAGAGCCTCTGGCTATATTTGCTTCTTCTGATTTCTTCTCCTTGTTTGACCAACAATCTCTAGCAAAATGGCCAAACTTCTTACAACAGTAACATTGTATTTTTCTTTTGTCATACTTCTCTTTTCCCCTCTGAGCATTCTTTTGTCTATCAGAGGTTGAGCTTTCTGACCTCTGACCACCATCAGATCTTCTCCTGACTTCTGACTGCTTCTGATACCTCCTATCAGAAGTTGTTTTCAGAGCCTGCTGTTCTACTTCCTTTTCAGAGTTTCTCTCAGTCAGACGCAACTCTTGCGCTTCTAGACTGCTCTGCAGCTCTTCAATTCTCATTGTGCTCAGATCTTTGGAATGTTCTATTGCTACCACAATGTAATCAAATTGAGGAGTAAGGGATCTCAACACTTTCTCCATGATTGTTTCTTCAGAAAGAGTTTCTCCACATGCCTTCATCTCATTAGTGATCAGAATCACTCTGGAGATGTATTCAGAAACTTTCTCATTATTCTTCATGTTGAGATTCTCATATTGCTTTCTCAAGGACTGAAGCTTCACCTTCTTCACTGATGCGTCACCACCATAACATCTCACCAGAGTGTCCCATGTATTAGAATATTAATGATAATTCATATTTATTTAGTTGTACTATTTTCTTAGCCCATAAGTTTGTTAGAGGGTATTTTAGTATTTATCCTATTCTAGTAACCCTAGTTTTAGCTTATAAATAGGGTGACAATCATTGTAACCTAATATCATGTTTTGTAGCCGTCATTCTCTTATTAGTAATATTTCCTATTTCATCATTTATTCTATCTTTGCACCAACAATTGGTATCTAGAGCTCCGGTTCAGATTCATTGGGAAACACGGGAAACACGAGTGAACGTGAGGTCTTGTGTGTTTGATTTTGTTTCTCAGATTCTTGTTGAATCTTGAACAAAATCTGATCAGAATTTTTTTTTAATTCTGTGGGTTGGGAAACACTGTGTGAGAAAACTCTGAGTGTATTGTGCAAAGTAGAAGATGAACGGAAACGGCAAC